TGTAGGAGAAATGTTAAGCTGGCTGTTCCTTGATAAGGTGAAACGAGTAAAATTGAGGATCCATACAACAAAATTCGGAAAATAGCAAAGAGTCTGATGATTTCTCATGACCAATTTTGCAGGAAAATAAGGGTGCTACAGTTTCGCCCGATAATCGCCCCATAAAACCAATGAGTGATGCGGATTACCGCCGCTATTTTCTTCCATCCAACGAGGAATGCACATCACATCGTCACGATCACCATGGAGCTAAGCATGCCGCACGTGAGCAAAAAGTTCCAGGTTTTCCCGTCTTACTCAAATATTTTTATTTACTCGTTCATCAAAGAGGACAAACATTATATGTTTGGGACGAAACGAACGTTATGACTTTTTACAACAGGCTGACTGGAAAAGTTGTCAGTTGCACATCTGAAAGAAGAAGGAAAAAACTCGGATTTTATGGAACATTTGTATTGATGAAATCCGTTAAACAGAGCAAACTTGTTTATCTTAGAATGCGATATCGGCAGTACTGTTGCTAGTGCTGTGAATCAAAGATGGAAAACGAAGACAGACCTGGGTACGGCGCAAAAAACTGCTGCTGGCAATTCGCAGAAGCATTTTTTTTTTCAAAATTTGATTGCATCAATCCCAGACTTTTTTAGCAGTTTTTTTTGCAAAACTGTTATCTCTTTGATTATTCTGTGGTCTCTGGAACAAAGTGGACGATTTATAGCACGAGGGACCAAACCAAGATTTTGAATGAAAATAGAGCCAAAATGATCATTCCACAAGTGACCAAAAAAAGTCTGTTACCATGAGCGAAAGTAGAAACGGGTGTTCATTCCGCTGGTGCACCTCTCCTTTCGTTTCATTACTACTAATGGAGGACTTTACAAAAATTAACTTCATAAAATTTCTCGATCCTTTCCCATATTTGCTACTACTTTTTCTTGCCACTCATAGAAGTTGCAACGTTTCTGTTTTGCTTGATCCTGACCAGCTCGCACCTAACATGACCCTGTATCAAAAAGTCAAAACCCTCTATCTTCCTGAGAGGCGGGACATTCGGAAATATTCCGAGAGGCAAGGGCGTCCGGAAAATATAGTAGTAGAATAAGTTGCCAAAGTTTTGAAGATGAAATTTACTGGCAGTTTTGCCAGAGAGCTGTCATTGACTTCCTCATTCGAGAGTTACGAACAAATTGATGACGGTGATAACAACAATTTACAAATCCTACTTTCTCGTAACACAGTGCGTTTTTCCGATATTCGTAAGGACACCCTACTACCTATTACGCATCATTCATTTGTTACCCTTTTTCTCTGCAAGCAGAAAATAAAGAAGAAACACTAGGAAGACGTAATTGTTCATTTTATGCTTGCAGACCCACCCAGAGTGGTAGAATAAGTTGCCAAATTTTCAATTTCATAACCTTGCTGGTCTTAAGGTCAAAATATGTGGACAGGTTATTACGCATACGCACAGCATACTCCTCTACAATACATATTTTTGCGGTGCGTAGATGTAAAAAACGCGTAGCAATTAAGATCAGTGTTTATTTTTTTGAGGGGCGGTCAAAAGCATAGCCTGATACCGAAGAAATTACCTGGATCTATGAACAAGAAGAAACACAGGGCAAGCAACAGCGGCAATCGAGAGGAATGCAGCGAAAAGCCGAAGCGTGCAGCTGCTATGAAGGTAATTTCTTATAAGGAGAAGGATTTGATCAAGATGCGCAATGCTGATTGAGGCAACAAGAAGTGGCAGTAAGAAGTGAATGAAAAAATTTTCTTTTTAGAATTTGGTCTATTTTTGAAAAATTTTTGTAAAAAATTGACTAAATTTATAGAATTGGTTGATTTTAATTTTCCACAGTTGTAGTGATCAAACCTGCACAGCACAGTTGGGTGGCTCTAACGCTCCTGGTATGGTTTATAACGCTTCACGAAAATTTACCACTGCCCACACTACGAAAAAAAGACGAAAAAAAAACAAACAGAGGAGACCAACCAACTTCTAAGTAACCGTTAGAAAAGCTGCCAAGCACAATGACGGATATGCAGAAGCATCGAAGTGTAGCACACAACTGACTAGAAAATCATTTATACTTGTGCAAAATACTTTTATATTCAAAGCAATATTTAGCTTTAGGTCGGATCAAAAATTTGATTTATTTGGAGATATTTTAATTTGTTTGGAAAATAAAAATTTATTTGGAAAATTTAAGTTAATGCTAAAGCAAAGATAAAAAAGGCTTTAAAAGCCGTTGAGTAAGACTGCAAGACTGGGTTTTAGAATTTCCCAAGGGATTATCCAAATAAAACAAAATCTAAGCAAAGAGAAACCTGAAATCACTCTAAGAGATGTACGTACGACCTATTTCGGTGATGAAGCAAATTGAAGCGTAAACATTGTACATAAATGCTTGTTTGGTGTATGTAAATTTTTCACTCCTCTCTAGAAATCACATAAAATCCTCTACCATTCTTTTGTAATTTGCCTATAAGACCAAGTAAATTATGTCGCTATGTAACACGTAAATACTGAAGGCAATGACAGACAATGATACCATCCAAAGATCCAGGACGAGGCCCATAATCACGAACCCTTTCTTTTCGTCGATCCTGGGATAAACAGTGAAATCTGCCTACATATACAGGAAGCATTTAGGGAGGATGGCACCACTGAAGGATCAGGGAGAGCTCAGATTACGAAAATCCTTTTTTCATCAATCCTTATGTAAATTGACTTGTTGCTTGCTTAAATCTAAAGAATAATACTATCAAAATTATCCAAATGCGTCAAAATCAAGAAATAGAGTTACATGATACCACCCTAAAAGGTGTATACGTGTGACCGATTTTGATGGCGAAGTAAATTGAAGCGTATATTTTGTACGTAAATGTGTGTTTAGTGTATGTAAATTTTCGTTCTTTGTAAAATCACCTTCTATTCTTGTGTACTATTCCTTTACTACACTTACTATTTTTACTACACCTATTGTACTATTTGCGCTATACCTGCTACTATACTATTCTTTTGTAGAAAACGTATAAAATTTTCAACTGTTCTTTTGTAAGTTGC